CCCCTGTGGTTACACTTTTGTAGAAATTATGTCAAATGGACGATTTTTCAGGCGACGAAGATGCAGTTCAGTTAATTAATTAATTAATTAATTTATTAACTGTTGGCCCCCGGCCCTGAACGCGAAGTCCGAACAACTCGATTCGCGAATTTTCAGCGCCCCTGCACGACAGAATGGAACGTTCGAGGGGCTCTGAAAAGGTATACACTCTGTCCACGTATTCCATGTTCATGTAACAGTTCATAGTTCAGCACATACGGAACTATCAGACAATGGCAGTGCAAGAAGGCAAAAGAGTAGCTTTAATTACAGGGTCAACGTCAGTTGATGGTATCGGGTATGGAATTGCTAAAGCTTTGGCTCAAGTTGGATATGATATTATTCTCCAAGGACGACGAAGTGTAGCGGATATAGAACCCATGAGAGAAGAGATAGAAAGGTGACCTTGATGATACAGGGCGTACGACTCAAACACTGTTAACATCTTAAGTCGTACCTCCATAAAATAACACCATACAATCGGAACTATAATTTGGCATGATAACGCCCAATGTTATCATTGTAGGATCGATACCACGTATAACTGGGCAGTGCTTTCGACCAACTTGAACGTGAAACTTTTGTGTGTGTGTTTATATTGTGTGTATGACTCAGCAATATCCAATGTTTTCCAGTATTTGTACTAAGGATTGTTATGATACCGAGGCTCCTCAATCTCCGAGTTGCCATATTGAATCACTGGACACCATTGCTCGTGATATTTAAACAACTAATTTATTGTTTACCATTGTCTTTTTCAGGATTTAAGCTGAAAATTATTCCAGTTAACAGCCCCACGCATCAAAAAAGAAACCCATTCAGTCTCTCATATTTGGGCAATCCTCAGGCTGGTCCAATCTGATTAAAATAAGATCTTAGTTTTCTTTTGTATATTTATTTTATTTTATTTTATTTTGATCTAGTGTTTATTTTTTGAGGTTTTGGCGAAAGCCAACAAGGCAGGGCGGAATTAAAAAAAATCACAAAATCAAAGTAAAATAATAAAATAAAAAGACATTAATAACAATTATTATACATCTGTCACCGTAACGCCATAAGTTACAGCGTGCCATAATTTTGCGGTATTTTACGGGGTATTTTCATCCTACCATATTAGGAAATGCGAATTCCAAATATGGAATGATTACGCGCGTAAGCGTCCTCTAATAATAAAAACAAACATGGCTGCCACCAGGGTTTGACTGGACTTCACACAAAGAAGTTCGCTAATTCTGTTCTAAATTTTTTGGATTTCGGCATTCCCATGATGTATCCTTAGTAGGAAAAGATGCGCGTCGGTCGATACTGCCGCTGTACTGTCTTCGTGCATACTTTGAGGTATCTTCGCAATAACCTTATAGTATTAAAAAATATAATAAAAATAAGTTTATAGCCAAAATAATTAAAGCCCGTACAGTACATCATAATTTAATCAGATTGACGCTGGTCATTATTCGTGAAAAATTAATAACACGATGTGATTATTGAATGATTATTGACCAGAACTTGGTGATTAGTGACGTTATTCGTATTATGCTATTCATGCATAATTATTAGCAACAGCCTCATGCTTTTTGACCTCATTTGTAATATATTACATCATATGTTATGTCATTAATGTCCGTGTTATTAAAACAACCCTGAAATGAAAGTTTAATTTGAGTTGAGATAACTTTGAGTGTCATGTGGACTTCTTGTATATATCTCTAGTCCCCGTAGACTCGTTTTCCAGTCTGTCCCTGGCGTATAAATTTGCCGTTCTTGTTTGTCACACTGCCCTCAACGATATGTGTTTGTATGTACAGGGGAGACGGTAAGCGGCTCGCAAGGCATCCGGACTGAATCACAGTAGCACGGCACGATATGAGACCGGAATCGTTTATTCAAATTTACCTATAAAGCCATGCCATCTCATCAATAAATAAATATTTAATTTGACCCGACCAAGCCAATGGGTTGACCACTGCAGGGATATAAATGAATACAGCAGCAAACATGAAAACTCCATGAAAGGCTGAGAGATAATATGTTAGATAAAAAAAAAACGTCCAATGTTTGTGAGGGTGGTGAATGAAATGAAATATTAGCAAAACGACAAATATTTCTCTCCATTTCGATTGAATATTTGTTATATAAGCTTATATAATTGTTATTACATAAACATAAACAATTTCTTGAAAGAGAAGTTCACTCCTTCCTAAAGAATATGCACTCATATTTATGTATGTTTGTTCCTATTTATTGTAGTTCGTTTAAAGTCACATGCCATTACCTAAAGGCAGATTTGTTGCAACGAGCAGAGATTGAAAGTCTATGCAGTAACATAAGAACGATCTATCCTGATGGAATAGACGTCCTTGTGAACAACGCATGTAAGTCAGTTGACAAACAATTATGTCTTCAAGTTCACTGTACGTACTCAACTCCACTTTATAATACATCACTCGTTAATACTGTACTGTAATTGGTCAAAACAGGATCACTTGTTATCGGCTAAATTACCATAATAGCGCCAGGGAAATTTCCAATATGTCCGTCTGCTAGCTCGGTCGCTGATATCGATGGTCCGCTTCGAAAGACTGGACGATTTAGCTTTAGTTCAGAAGAAGAACTGGACACACTAGTAGAAAATAAAAATGCACCGAAGACGAAGGACGCAATCAGCAGTTTGAGCATGCAGTGTGTTTACTATTAATGGCACAGTATAAACGTGTAATGTGTTATAAAACACATATTGCATGACCATGAGGGCACTATTATACTATTTCCTCGAGGGGTTGTGGGTTACCAACAATACCTGCTATTTCACAAGGCCGCTTAATATCAAACATCATCATTTGCTTGGGACGAAATAGGTCCACTAAACCACGGTTACTAGTAACCTGTGACTAAACCACTAGTTTTTTATAAATAGCAAAAAAAAACACATTCACTTCATCATTCTGAGGTATTTCTCTGTGAGTTACGTGGATGCACGTTTTTTTCTTTACGTGTTAAAATTTAGTACCATCACACAAAAACAGAAATACAGATAATGGGTAGCATTGAAAATAAGACAAACTAGAGTGACGTGCTAGCGTCAAAAATTATAATCAGAGAAATATCCGATTGCTTGCCAAATTTCGCGGCGTTATTTGAAACATACTCAGGTAAATGTCACAGCATGGAGGTACATCACATATCAATCTTGTTTCCAGGTTTGTATGGATTGGCTGCGATAGAAGAATACCCAGTCGATAACTGGGATGATGTTTTAAAAGTCAACGTCACAGCTCCTTTTGATCTTATAAGACTAACACTTGGAGCAATGAAAAAGAAAGGTAACACACCGTTCGTATAAATCGCGCCCTCCTAGCGATGAAACTATTCTGCGACGTAGTAAATGAGTGTAGGGAACATCGGTCATAGCGTGTCCGTCAATAATCACAGTTCCCCTTCGTGGACTGTGGCACGCTATATCATATTTTAAAACAGCGTTGACGATGTTTTTAAAAAAGTGTTATGAGGTCAAAATTTGGGTCACGCAACAGTAGACGAACTGGGAATTTGAATTCAAACCTTTTACAGTATCTCTGAGTACCGCGAACATCATTTCTGTGGCATTATTTCGGTTTATTCGAAAATAACACCTCTCTATTTGCACAGTGATCACGTGATTACATGGTTCCATTTTTTTTGTTGGAATATTTATTTCAAATTATTTGAAAAATAAGCTTTCTAAAAATATATAACTTGATGGGATTCAAAGAATATGTTACTTCAGAAATGTACTATGGAATTGCAATAGCAAAAAACCTCTACTACATCCTTAACTCTAAAAGACAGACAAATACAAGGTCAAAGTTGTCTATTTGAACAACATTGCCAATATCAAATTACTTCATTTTGACATTATGCCTTGTCGCTAGAAGGCGCAGTTTATAGAAAAGACCTTTGTTGAGACGAACCATATATGCAAGGTGCAATTTGATAGTTTTAAATACCTTTCAACAAACAACCTACTCTCTGATTGGTCGAAAGGTCATGTGGCCAATCAGACAAAACCTTGCAAGTAGCTCCGTATTGACGCCAGATGTTTAAATCGATCAATGATATTATCATGTTCTATCGGTATCGCTTATCAAGTTCTGAGGAAGATGCAATCAGTGTTAATGCAATGCCAGTGACTGATAGGTGAAAATATGGACGATTATATTTCCGTGTAATCAATATCAACTCCTTTCGAATACCAGCCTACTAAATGGAAAACCTTTTTGGGCAATATAATATCGAAGCAGGCACACTGCATGTTTGAGAAACTTTTAACATTTTTGGCGTAAACATACCGATAATACAATCTGAAGTGGATTAAAATATTAAGATCTATGATTTAAACATTCCGAGAATAACAAATTATTCTTGAATTTAACAGCAAATTCCTTGGTTGATCTTGAAATTGT